CAAACTCAAACTTCAGGAAAACTTCGGTTTTTGCTAACATGTTGCGGCTGGGAAAATGTCACCAGCAAGAAAACTTGGTGAAAATTTTCAGATGCAGAAGGCTTAAGTGCAGGCCAAAAACGAGTAACGAGTATAAAAAGTGAATGTAAAAGGGATTTAAATCATCATTAAAATTTAGAAATCTTACTTTTCATAGATCCTTAAAGAATTATAATCCTAACACAAAATCTTTTCTAACAAAAAGAGGATAAAAATTCCCTTTCAACAAATTAAAAAACAGTTTAGAGACAATTTAAATCTCTACAAGGGGAAATCCCCTCACAACTAATGCCATTTTGCAAGTTTCGATGACCTAAATCCTTTTGGATAACAATTTTGCGATTCATAAAAATTTCAACAGTTTTCGGATATTGCAGATTGCAAACTACAAATTCTGCGAGCTGCCAATTGTAAAATCTTTTTCAATATAAATTCAAGTTTTTCTTTATCGCTGTTTTCCATTTAGCTGGAAGCGTTTCAAATAATCCTTCGTACAGAATGCAAACCAAACTAATTTCTTGTTTTGTTTTTAAGCTTTTACTAGCAAGCTGGGATTTTTGTCGCGTTAAGATAAAGTGGCGCATAAGTTAAATCAGTTTGCGCAACTACAAATGGAGTTTGTAATGCAAATCCTTTTGCCAAGTGAAAAGAACTTTCAAGCTCCTGCTGCTTTCATCGTGTTTATCCTTTCAGTTTTCCCCCAATCCGACGACGGGCTAAAGAGACCGCGGGGAAAAATTAAGACAATTGTCGATCCGCTTCGACGCTTTCAGCCGGAAAAATCTTTTCCCATTTTCTCCATCCAAGACGTTGACGTCGCTTCACTTGCATGCGAAATGAAAATCTTTGCTTTTTGCTAATTGGCCGATAGACAAACTTAAGTTTCACCAATGAGATTAGCCAGGCTCTGAGTTTTAAGTTGCTCTTAAGTTTCGGAAAGTTTGAGACCAAGCTCTGAGCTTTTTCGAAAAGTTTTCATTTTTCATAAAGCATAAAATGTTCATAAATAAGTTGAAACGGATGGCAAACGTTTGCAAAAAAGTGGTTAGGAAATTTTAGTTGGGAAAATGTCTAAAGTGCTAACTTTTAGAAAATAGATTGGATGGAAGTTTGTGTGAATTTTAGAAAAAGAAAAACTGTATTAACATAATAATAATCAAGTATTAGTGTTAAAATATTTGTTATTGCTTAACAATTGTTTAAAAAATATAACAAAATTTAGGAAAACCTTAAATCCAGCCATAAATTTCCAATTCATTTCCATTCAATTCATATCCAAGCAGCTTTTCTCTGTTTTTCCCCTCTTAAAAAAAATGTCACAATCAGCCTTTTTTTGCCTCTAAAAATCTCCGAGGATAAGCCAATATTTTCCCATTCAGAGAGACATCCCAAACAAATGGCATCGCGTGACTGGGTCTTCTTCCAAACCCAAAGGCTGTCAGGGCAACTAATCCAATAAGTTCTACTGGCACTATCCTAATGAGCCATTCTATTTGCTTAGCCTCCCAGTTGGGCCGAAAGCCTCTTGATAGTTTCTCTCCAGCCGAAGGCAAAGGCATCCACATCCTGTTGCTGGAGGATAAACTTTTCTACGCCGCCTTCCGACGGAGGCAAAAGTTACATTTAATGAACCATCAGGACACACCACTACGGGTATCCTTCTGCAGATTCTGCAGAAAGGCAAACAGGGGAAAGAGGGAAACAGGGGAAGACAATTCCCCCAGAAGTTAACTTGCAATTTTGCATGTCGCGCAATTAGGCAAAAGTTAAATTGCTTGTCATAAATGTAAAATTTGCAACACAAAAATTGACTTAAGTGAGTGCAGGAGCTTCGGCTTGAAATAAATTTAAGCGGCTTTTGAATTTAAATTGCACTCATAAGCATCGTAACTCCTTGAGCTGTAAAAAGCGCTGAGCCACGCCCACTGCGTCGACCCGCCGCTCTTTTCGCCCATAAAGATTATGAAAAGTCGTAAAAGGCCAAAAATATGAATGCGATAGTCACAGTAGTCTGAGCGGGTACCGAAAATTGCTCAAATAAAATAAAACAGCAGACTCATGCAGAAAAGTCAGTTGCCGCCAACATTTTGTGACATTTTCCGCTGTCAGCAAGCGGAAAATTCTGGAGTGGCAACTGGGTGGAAGTTGTGATGGGTGTTACACTGGAAAATATAGAAATGTGACTTGAAATTTAAGAACATTTTGGATTAGATTTTTAAAAATTATTTATCAAGATTATTGTTAAGAAATAAATAAATCTATATCAGACTGAAATAATTTTTAATAAATATCTAAGCTTTTTAAATAAAATATATTTAAATAATAAATGGTATATAACTTTTTATAACTTTATATAACTTAAAAAAAAAATATTTTTAATAAAATGACAGCATTTTTTAGGAATTTGAACCAGAACCAAGATTTTGTATGAGAATTTGGTGATTTTTGCAAAATATTTTTTAAATAACTGAAAAATTAAAAAAAAAACTTCAAATTGATTTAACTTTCCTTTTTTGTTTTTAAGTTTATTCTAAACTTTTTTTAATGTTCTCGTGGCAGTTGCTAAGCTCTGGAGGAAGGCTTAAAATATGCGCCGCTGGCTCAACATTTTGTCATATTTTCCTGCTTAGCCGCTGCTGCAAGAAGCTGGCTTCATTATAGAACAGCTTGAATCTCCCTGCATAAAGTATGAAATTAAAATGCTGTCCAAAAAGAACAAGAAAAAAAGATATAGTGACAGCAAAAGTTGCCGAGCGTCGACAAAAGCGGAAAATAGAAAACCAGCAGAGAGCAACAATTTTTGTTGACTTGTTGGTGGCTCTAGTTTGTTGTGTGCTTTTGGTTTGTATAGTGGGGGTTTAGGGGTCAGGGGTAATGGATGGGTAATGGGTGAAGAGAGTGAAGAGAGGTAAGGCTTAGGTAACACCTGTGTGTCACTGTGTTGGTGTTGTGTTAAAGTTGAAACTTAATGTGTACAGCTTGTCCGGGGCATTTTGCAGCCCCAAAGTCATGGTTAGTTGAACTTTTCATTGTTGCCATGAACAGTGGCTTTACTGTGGCAATTGTAAGTCTCGAACTTCTATGCGAAGTTATGTGAAAAAGGGAAATTTAATGTGCTATTAATAATAGTGAGTGAAAATGGGTTAGTTTTATGGTTTTAAGACCGTTCTTTCCGATCTGAATCCCAAGACCAATAACCAATTCTTTAAACAAAACCTTTAAACTTTAAGACTTTGTTACTTACAACTTTAAAAGCCTAACCATAAAAGTTGAAGTCATTCCCAACTACAGTACAGCATCCTACATTTCCCTACCTTTTCTTTATTGACCGCAATTTAAGTTGACATCGCCAAACTGCACAACAAGGCCGAGTTATTTCTTGGAGACAAATAAACTTACGCAACGAATTTGCAAGATACACAAACCGGAGGCGGCAATAAAATACCAAAAAGGTAAAATAAACAAGGAGAAACATCAACAAACTTTTGGTCGTTCTGTGGGCACGGCTCGAATATCAGATGTTTTACAGCCTTTTGTTTATTTATGATGGAACCGGAGATCCTCCCTACTGGCTACTCCTACCACTCCCCCGAGTAGCACTCAAATTAAAGGTCCCAAAAAAAAAAATGAGATTTTTCGCAACAATATTTTCTGGGCTGGCAGGAAAAGCTTTCACCTGCAATTTACCCGGTTGCACTTGCCATAAAACGAAAATTTCATTAGGCCTACCTTACAAAAAAAAATACCAAAAAAAGAAAAGCTGGGAAAATAATAGAGCAGGAGGAGACTTTCACGACGATTAGGGTTGCCGCCCTTTTGGCATTTTTTGTAGTACTTGCTGGACGAGTATTTTGCCGTAAATTCCGAACCATTTCCATTTTACACAAAAACGTGACTCCCCTGGAAAATCGCCGCCCATTGGCATCCGTTTTGCCATAGCCTCCGGCCGAGGAAACTGTAAATAAATTTTATTTTTCGGTCCGCTACCAAAGTGCATGGAAAGGTTCGGGATCCGGAATACGGATTGCTGGATTGCCAGCTAGAAAAGTGCGGGCCCAAAGCCTTAAAAACGAAACTTTATCTGCATTTAGTACATAAATAATCGAGGGCAGCGCTCCGACGATTTTTGTTAGGTGGAAAGCCTTTTAGCTGCACACGGGCTGAGTGTGCCCGTACTAATTTGTTTTGGATTGATGGACATGCATTTTGCATGAACGAGCTGGCAACCAGTGTTGCCAGGTGATGAGCGCATGTATAAGCTAGATTTGTGAAAAAAATAAGCTAGAATAAGCTAAAATTAAAAAAAAAAAATGCTAAAAACCAAGCTACACCCAAATGTGGGTGGCAATAGTCATTGGGGCTATTTTTATGATTAAATCCTTCTGTTCCTGTGTTTTGCAACATTTTGCCCGGAAACTTATTTTCTGAGATTGTGTAATTGAGCCCCTTCTAGCACGTGCTTCTTTGTTGCCACTTGCTGCCTTTTTTCAAAGATTTTTGCTGAAATTGTTGACTTACAATAGGAGCAATAAGCTCTTGTATCATCTCCTGTCAGTTTGCGTAACCACGCCTAGAACTCACTACTTTCGGCATTTTACCACTCGCTTATTAAAGTTCACAAATTCAAGTGATTGCTGGCAACACTTTAGCCAACATATCGATCTTCGATGGCACTATCGATTAGAAATATATTCACGATCATATGAAACGCACATAACCATCAGCAAAAAAAAACAAGCTCCGATATTTTCATGCCATAAAGCATATTTTTCTAACGAAGCAACGCGTTAATGACGTAAATACAAAATCTAGCATATGCTAGATGAATTTTAAAATAACCTATATTTCAAGCTATAAGCTAGATCGGGAGTTTTCAAGCTTTTCCAGTTCAAAATATGCTAGAACTAGCTTATAATTAGCTAAACTGGCAACCTCCAGCAGGCCCTGGGTTTAATGTCCGATATTCTTTGACGTTTCTGATATAGAACTTTAAAATAGTATAGCACTCTGTAAAGTCAAATCTAGTCGAAATGACACGCTTTGTGAAAATGAATTATAACCAAAAACACTTGATGAGTGAGGCGCAATTCAATAGGCTAAACCAGCCTGTGAAGGAAATTATTCCTCTCAGTCCAATCAGCAATCAGGTGAGTAAATGTGAAAGGCTTAATATTTTTTCTTCTTTTAGCCATGATGACTTGCAACTAGCATTGGTCAAAAAAATTGTGTTTGCTTTTCATTAAAATTAATCTTTTCCATTTTTTTAATAACTTTCAAAAGTATGCATGGTTCACAGATTGCAATCAGAATACGGTTTTTTAATTAATTTTAGTTTTTAATTTAACAAATCTGTTTGGTGGAATGCAAAATATTTCATTTTTATTAATATATAAACTAATCACAGTTTAAAATGTATATTAAACACAAGCACCTTAGCTTTTGTTATATTTAAAGAGAAGAAATAAATAAATAATTTATACAATTTCTACTGTTTTATTACAGAATGAAGAAAACGAGAATGATGCAAAGATGAATTGGAATTCAAGTCCTTTGATGAACTCCTATAACTTTAACAACGTGTACGGCAAGCCGGATTTAACTGCCAATGATGAGGATTTTCCTAGCCTAAGTGAGCCTTTGCCAAATGTTTCCATTCGAGAGCAACAACGTTTAAGTGCTGTGAGCCGCGGAAAAATTCTAAGCTGGCATCGCAATCATTTACAGCGTCTTGAGCAACATTACCAGGCAGAATTATATAAAGAAATAACTGTAAACCAAAATGTTGGTGATATGTAAACCAAGTTGAGAATAAAGTATACATAGAAATCAGATTTTAACTTAAATAAGTCCACACAGAGATCATATCTGTTTAACGAGAAAAGTTAATTGCAGAAAACCAAATGACATTTGGACAAAAAGTTCACAAACATGCATTAAATATGTGTGTATTTTAATCAATCAGAACCCAAAATATTGTGTTATACGCAATGTTGTCTAATTGTTAACAGGTGAGTGCAAAACGTAATTGCAATTTGCGTGGCGTCATTCGGATAATTAAGTGAGTTTTAACTCGTCCACCCACACACAGTAAGGCCATGTCACTGCTATGGCTCAATGGCAATGTCAAATGGAAAGGCAATGAAGCACTTTAAATGCAAAACTCACAATTCGCCAGTCGAGCCTGCAGAAATCATTTAACGAGCTTGCCAAATTGCCTTATGGAAAAGCGGTGCAGAGAAATGCATTTTCACAGTCAAATGTCAGGATGTCCAGCTTGTGTCAGGTTGCATTGATTTATGTCCAGCAGGAGGTGGAAAGAGAGATGGGGTAGGGGGGGAAAAACAACATGAGTCTTCATTTGTGAATTGCATTTTATATGACTGTACTGTCTGACATTCAGTCAAGTATTTGCTTGTACAGACATAAGCACGGATTAACAAACGAGGTCATGAAAATAGGAGTTAATATAAAAAAATAAGTTAGGAAAATTGATATTGGGGTTGCCTTTTCAACAAGCTTTTATGGATTATATTTACCTTTGCTATATCTTATTGTAATATATCTACCTAAAACGTTAAACATATATTTTGCCCACAAGTTATACCTCTCCAATACGTTCAATTTCACTTGAATACAAATATTAACAAAAAATTTATAATAACAATTTCCAAGGCACTTTGTTACTTCATATACTCCCCTTAAAATTAATTTTGTATATTTTTATTTTCTTAAAAAAAAAATATATTCCCTATTTTCTTGACCTCCACTGTCACTGTTCATCCTTTGATATACATATGTTTCAATTAGTGCCCCACATCCTGACTCTTCACTCTGCACCACAAAAGGGATCCATACCCCGCCTTCAAGCTTAATTAAGGCAAGTGACCAGCTTTATGTTCAGCTTTATGTTATTTATATAAATGTATATGGAAATGCAAATGCAAATGCATGTTTTTGTGTGTGCAGTTCGTTGGGTTTGTTCAGTGCAACTTCATATGCAGGACGAGTATCTTCTCCCTGCTAATGGAATTCTCTCAGACAATCCGGAATTCATTCGACTGCAAAATTTTCTTGTTTTGATATGTTTGTTTGTGTATGTCTGCCTGCCTGTGTGTGAGTGAGTAAATGGAATTTTACAGTTGCCAGCAGAAGACACTACGCTTTTGGCATAAATACTGGTTTCCGTACACTTTCCTCACTTCAATCACTCTCTCTGAATTATTTAATGGAGTTGCCTTCAAGCAAATTGTTTCACAAAATTCAATCAAAATTGCCTAGTTAGAAAGCAAACATTATATTGCTTAAAGCGTTAAGCGTTTCTTAGTCCAGTCAGTTAGTTTTGATAGTTCTAATGGGATTTTATTATTAAAAAATAGTATTTTCAGTAAAATAAAAAGGTTTTTAGGCTTACAATAACAATTCAGTTTCATAATAAAAGAAAAACACATATTTCATGTATTTATAAAGGATTTGTTCAACCTTTAATACTTGGCCTTTAATAATTTTACAATAAAATATAACCAATTTAAAGTTATTAATTAAGTTCATAAAATTGCACCCCCAAAACGTTCTTAGAGAAATGCAGAAACTGAGAAGGTTTGTGAGTGAAATTCATAGGTCCCTCAGAAATTGCCATGAAGTTAACTATGAAGGTAACGTCTTCATAACTTCGTGTTATTTGCTTAATGAAATTCCCCATCATCCAAGGCACAGCCTGTGTTGCCTTAACCTCTCGCTCCCCAGCTCTCCCTCGTAAAGCTTTAGCTTATTGAAATGCTGTACAGAGGTCTCCACCACAGCCACCCACTGCTTGAAGCCTTTTTAACCGTCCCATACACCCGCAGGCCCACTTAAGTCATCCCCTTTTCAGCTACAACAATGCAAATATTATTCCTTGACACCAGCTGTAGAAGAGGCGACTTTGCCAGCTGCTGTCACAGGATCCCCTTGGTAATATATATATATATATATATCTGTGTTGGCTGAGTACCCTCTGCTCTCCAACCACTTGGTACTTCCAGTCTGTTGCTAATAACTTGTTGCATAACCAGAAATCCCAAATGCCTGCCATAAAGCACTTAATCAAGTTAATAAAAATTGATGGCTGGCAAGCAAACAATTTGTTTTTGACTGCCAGAAGGATCGGGGTTGAAATCGGGACAGGCTTTACCTAGTTGTCAGTTATAAAAAGTGTCAGTTTTGAATTTTTGATGATTTTATTTAATTGAAGTTCTTGGTTTTATGTTAACAGGTTTTATTCTGAATGACAATTATATTTATTAGGATTAGTATTACTAAGAATACTAACTTTTAACAAAGGTTTCAGGGCTAAGCATTGAAACTCATCGTCCGTTGTTTAATTTATAAATTGATACCATTGTAATAAACTTAATAGCTTTTCATTGATAGGCTAACGCCCCTTCTGAGCTAGCGTTTAGTATAAATAATTGTTATATGTATTTGTCGGCATTAGTTGGACTTAGTATTTCATTCGGAAATGTTACGAACTCGTCGTGGTCTTTGTCAGCACATAGCTTTGTTCTTCGTGAAGACAGCTCTTTATGAATCCAGGTTACTGGGATTACTACCCTTCACATTTGATTCCCGGAGAAAGCAACTTAAACGCTGTCTATGGTTTCTACTGTATGGCATAATTTTTAATTTATTCACTCTGTGCATATTTCTGTTCAGCCACTTTGAGGCTAAGAATTCAAGAAATTTCGATGCATTCAAGCGGAATCCATTGCTGAGGCAAATATTCGAAAAATCGAAAATAATCACTTTCATCTCGGCGAGTACCATACACTTTATAAACTTTTTGAGAAGCAATAAAATTCAGGAGATTGCCAATGAATTGTTAACCTTGGAGTATCGTCATTTCAAAGGATTAGATCTTAAAAATTGTCATAAATTTAAATATTTTGTGATTCAGAAGTCTATAATAATGTTGTGTCAGATTATAATTTTGTTCATGAACACTTCAGAGCATGAGCACTTTCAGAAAAACATTCCCTTAACCTGGGTAATACTGTGCTGTGTGCCTATAATGGCCGTTCATTTAATTGTTTTTCACTTTCATATGGCAATTATATCAATATATCGTTATGTGTGGTTGATTAACGATCAACTCCATGACCTAGCTAACAATATGAAACTGAATTCCTCGGTGAAAACATCAAGAATTCGCGAACTTATGACCTTGTACGAACGCTTATTGCAAGTAATTAAGAAAGTTGAGGAAGCCTACGTTTTCCAAATGACCTTGATGATCGCTAATTACTTACTCTACATTATTGTAATAAGCTATTTCCATATTGTAATCGGAATTAGCCTGAAACATACGTACATATTTCTTGAATATTTCCCAAAGTTAGCCATACATATTTGGGATTTTTGGTTAAATATAGTCGTGTGCGACCTTGCAGAAAAAGCTAGTCTAAAAACATCAACACTACTGAAGTTATTTGCTAATCTTGAGCACAAGGATGCTGAACTAGAGAAAAATGTGAGTATTATTTAGATCTTAAAATGTTATTAATAATTTGTGTATTTTTTTTAACAGTTAAATCAATTTGCATGGCTCTGCAGTCATAGGAAGTTCCGGATTAAGTTATGTGGACTTTTTTTCATTAATTATAGAATGGGATTCCATTTGATTAATACCACTTTTTTGTACTTGCTTTATTTAGCTCAGTTTGATTATATGAACTTGTGAAATTTTAGAAACTAAAATGCTTTCAAATATATTTTTCATAACCAAGTTGGACATGAAAAGCGTCAATTTAATTCATTTTAAAACGAAATCTAACGCTTTAAGCTGAGTATTAGTAAGAATACTAGCTTTCAATAAAGGTTTCAAGATTAGTATATACTTTTTTAATTACCTTAAGAGCTTCCTAGAGATAGAAGCTAAAATCAACACTCATCCACCTTCTAAGCTGGCGTTTAGTTTATATAGGAGTTATTTTTAAATGCCAACAGTAGTTGGTCTTAGTATTTGATTCGGAAATGTTACGAACTCGTGGTGGTCCTTGCTATCATCTGGCTAGGTTCCTAGAGAAGTCTGCTCTCTATGAATCCTGGCTACTGGGATTAATGCCTTTCACATTTGATTCCCGGAGGAAACAACTTAAACGCTCCCCGTGGCTTCTACTTTATGGCATAATTTTGAATTTATTCACTTTGTGCATATTTCTGTGGAGCGCCTTCGAGGCTAACAAATCTAAAGGTTTCGATGCATTCAATCGCAATCCATTGCTAAAACAAATATTCCAGAAATCGGAAATAATCGCTTTTATCTCGGCGTGTATTATACACTTTATGAACTTTCGGGGAAGCAACGCAGTTCAGGAGATAGCCAATGAATTATTAGACCTTGAGTATCGGCATTTCAAGGGATTTAATGTTAAAAATTGTCCAAAACTAAATAGTTTTGTGATTCAGAAGTCGATAACGACGATGTTGCTGACTATAATTCTGTTAATGGGCGACTTAGCGCATAGGGAAAACTTGAGTTCTATAATACTTTCCCTACTGCCATTAATGGGCGTCCAATTAATTTCTTTTCATTTTCATTTTGAAATAATATCAATATATCGCTATGTGTGGTTGATTAACGGAGAACTCCTTGACCTGGCTAACAATATGAATCTCCATTCCACTATTCAATCCTCAAGAATTCACGAACTTGCGACCTTGTATGTACGTCTATTGAAAGTTTTTAAAAAAGTTGAGAAAGTCTACGATTTCCAGTTAACCTTGATAATTGCCGACTACTTTATCTATAATATTGTAACAAGTTTTTCCCATATTGTGATTGGAGTTAGCCCGA